AGAGAGAGAGAGAGAGAGAGAGAGAGAGAGAGAGAGAGAGAGAGAGAGAGAGAGAGAGAGAGAGAGAGAGGTGGTTGGAGTGGTCGTTTGGATTAGAGGGTGGGTTTGGCCATGACTCCTCTTGAGCTTGGCGTGTCGCTGCTAGAGGCCTCCGCATCCATCGGGATCCGGTTCGTCGATGGCTGGTGGGCGTTCTTTGCGGCTGTCTGGGCTTGGACGTTTCTGGCCTCTGACGTCGAGGTGCCGCGATACATGGCTGGTATCTCGGCCATGGCGTCCGCCATAGCTGTGCTGGCGATGTGGGGATTGGGGATGTCTTCTTCGTCTGCCATAGCTGGAACTTGCACGTTGTTCTCCCTGCTCACGTTGACAGCTAAGCATCATCTTCGACTGCTCCGTCTCGTGCATGCTGATCTGTCGCCGCCGCCTTCTGCAACGTCATCATCATCATCATCATCATCGAGACTCTTCTCGTCGAATCCGCTCTTGGATGGGGGACCACCACCGGAAGCTGCAAGCGGTGCCACGTCACTGATTGCTGTCGGAAAACTGACCACGTGTCAGACTGCCCTGCTGGCGCTCGTAATCGTTTGCCAGCTGCTGGCTGCATTGCAAGCGCAAGGCGAGTTCTGGAGCAGAACTACCGGTAGGAGCGCTCCTGGAGAGATGGTGGAGATTGGGAGAGGGAGGTGGTTGCACATGAGGTGCGTTGGGTCGGGTCCACGTGTCGTGATTCTGGAGTCTGGTCTGCCTTTCTCCTCCACCGTCTGGCAGCCGTTGATGGACCTCTTCGACAAGAGATTGACGGAGAGCAAGCAAGGAGGAGGAGGGGGGGGGCGGGAGTTGTTGTCACAGGTGACACTCTGTGCCTACGATCGGGCTGGGTATGGATGGAGCCCTCGGGCTCGGGCCATCGACGGTCCGGATCTCAACGGATCCCGACGACGCCGATCGCGGTGGGGGTGGTGGTGGTTGGGGTGCTCCTCTCGCACGGGCAAGTCGATGAGAGAAGACTTGGAGGCGTTGATTGCCTCGCGGGGATTCGAACGGCCGATCTTGATGGGGTGGTCGTACGGAGGACAGCTGGCAGCTTCGTATGCGTGCGAGCGTCCCGACCAGGTGTCAGGTCTCGTTCTTGTCGAGTCCGCCGCTCCTTATGGGTACTTCAACATCCCGGATTTCGCGGAGGCGTGGTGGGCGGGCGTAGCGGCCTTTGCAGTCGGTCAGATCTTGCAGCCGCTGGGGTTGTTCCGCATCCTGTGGAGATTGGGCCTCTTTCCCGTCGAAGCGGGTGGTCCCCCCCCCGGGCTCTCTCCGCTTGCTACGTCAGCAATCGTCTCTCAAATGAGCTCGTACGAGTTCCCATCCGTCGCACTGTTGGAGTTGATCGGGATGAGACAGACCGATGCTGACGTGGCAAACTGTTTCGGCCGACCGAAGACCTGGATCCCGACTCCTCTTGGCGATGTCCCGGCTCTTGTCGTCTACGCTGAGGACAACCCCCAGGCACCTGCAGGTTGCCCCCCCCCCCCCCCCCCTCCCCCTCCCCCCCCTCCCCCTCGTGCAGAAGAAGAAGAAGGAGGAGGAGGAGAAGAAGAAGAAGAGGATCCGTTACGGGCAGTC